GAAGGTGACTTCCCAGCAGCTTCTGGGCTAACCCTAGAGGCTGGCACAGCACTGACTTTTGGAGGCAGACTTCTGGGACAATTTGGGCTATAACTTTGAGCCTGAACTCCGGCATGAGACTCTCACAATGGTGAGTCACACCCATGTGCTGGGGCTTAGGGCTGTGCCCATGGACAGAACAAGTATGATGTTTATGGTAACCAAATAAAATACTTAATAAGCACCCCTAAATAGCACACACAGAGGATTCAGAAATTAAGAACTCACAAGCTCCTGACCTTTTTCACTCTGATGATCAAAGAAGCTCGTTGCAGAGGCTCCTGTCCCATCCCAGGGGACATCGTAGGCCGCTATGCTGCCATTCCCCCAGACATACTTCAAGGAACTCATGTTGGGCAAATGTTTCCTTCCTTAGTGTGTGGCTACTTCCAAAGAATGCCACTTTGAAAGGTATGTCTACTGTTTGTCTTCCATTTGCCATAGTAGTACACAGAAATGTAGGTTATTTGCATAATAGTAAAAAGTAAATAGTAAAATTGAAAATTTCCAATGATACTACCTCAAAGATGAATATGTTAGTGTTTTGCACAGTTGCTTGGCAGACTTTCCAAATTCTATTTCAAAAGTTGCACAAAACATGCTATGAGATCTCTTCACTATTATCAAAGATGGGCTTCTAATGATCCTTGGGAACACTCTGTCTCCCATATCCCTGGGCTGGATTCCTTTACTATCTCTCATGGTCCTGAAAGGAAATCATGGTGAACTCATGAGGTCATGCTGGGTGTATACGCAAAACTCCTGCTAATAGGAACAGCCAATGCACAAACTACAAATCAAATTCCAACCCTTCATAAATCATCATGCATGGCTCAGACTGACCTTTCTACTCGGCATAGATACAGGACTCAATATTCTGTAGTTTGAAGAAACTACAAGAAACACAAGAAAAATTATCATCTAAAAATCACTGGGGGAATGGAAGTGCTCAAAAGGAAAGAAAAACTGGGATGAGGAAAAAGAGAAAAGAAAGAAGAGGGAATATATATGTGTGTGTATATATATATACAATAGCTAAGGTAATTTTACTATTGATTCTATTAGTTCAGGGAAAGAAACTGTGATTGCTTACATTCTTTAATCTGTTTTGTATGTTTGTATCTTGTAATCTGAGCAACTATTTTAAGACAACAATATGCAATATAGTGACTATGGTTAACTTCCTATTAGTTTATTTTTGAAATCCTATATCATTTATATTGTTTTGTTTTCTTTTAATTTTTTAAAATGAATTTTTTTAAAAAAATCACTGTGATGCTACAGTAGACTCTCCTGAGGTCTTCAGGGGACTTTGCTCCTCCTCACACAGCTGAGCCACTTCAAATCCTCCTGTGTCCTGGATGCATGTCCCTGGGTGGGTTTCTAGTGCCAGCCCTGGAAAAGAGGCAGTGTGCTGCCCCCACACTCAGTGGCATGTGCAAGGTGAATAGTTCCGTGCTTGGAGGTTATCTGTGTTTGTCTTGTCTCCCCCTCATCCCGTGATACTTTTCCCAAAGAATAGGAACTTTGTCATTCATAACCCAATGTTACCCCTGGTGTCTGAAATAGAAGTTTCCAACAAATACTTGTTGATTAAATGAAGAAGTAGATAGGTGAGTGACAAAGGAAGGTTTTCCAGCGTTCATAGAAGCAATGGCTCTGCTCTTCCTCCACCCAAGGGCTGTGCTCCCTCCACCCACCGCCCCCACTCCACACCCACCCCCCATCTGCTACCTCAGTAATCATTCCTCAAGAAGGAAAACAACAACAACGGACATAAACACTCATGGACGTCAGTTTTCCTGTGAAGGCCTTGATGATTCATAACACTAAATAAGAGCTAACCTGAAAACACTAACGGTCCTCAGGGTATGAGAAAAGCCACAAAATTTGGCTAGCTGGTATCACCTCCCTTTCACAAGCTCCAAATCCACATGACTCCTCAAAACCACTTTTTATGCTATGGGTTGAACCCAGAGCCTTTGAACTGAGCTCATCTCCAGCTCCATTTTTATGCCTTGTTTTATGACACGGTCTTGTTAAGTTGCTGGGTTACCCAGGCTGGGCTGAGACTTGTGGCCTTCCTGCCTCAGCCTCCAGAGGGCTGAGATTACAGACTTGTGCCACCACACCTGGCTAAAAACTATTCCTTAAATCCTTCCTATCAGAATCTGTCATCATCAGCACAGGAAGGAATGCCCTGCTTTCCAGCGGGAAGAAAATGGCTACCAAGAAATTTCCAGAATCCTCCTGTGCTCACCCCCCACACTTGCACTTCTCTGAGAGGAAGCTTCCTCTCTCCAGCATACTTCTGAATCTCTCTTTAGCTACCTTGTCCCTGGGCTGGAGTAGGCAGACAGCTCTCCCCTCTGTTCATCTCTGACATCTGCTTTCTTTCCTCATACACGTGTACATATTAATACAGACACACATATGCATCTTTAATCTCTTCTTAAGATTTAGTTTATTTCTTTTCATCAGTAAATATACTGAATGCTCCAGAAAAAAGTGACTCCAAATTTGTTAGGTAAGAGCCATGCTCTTCCCTTACTTGTAGAGAAAAAAAAAAAAATGCATTCAATAAATAGAAACCCATTTGCTCATCACACAATTTCTGCCCACACAGGTGCTAAGATAGCTTTCTACAAAATAATTAGCAATTTCCCATTTGCCAAATCCAAAGTTGTGCAAAGTAGAAAACCCCTCTGTGGCATCTCATACTGTTGAAAACCCTCTACTTCTTGAACCGGTTTTGAGTCAGCTTCCAGGACTCGCTGCCTCCTGCTTCTCTTCTCGCCTCTCTGAGTACTATCCTCCCATCTCTCAGACCGGCCTCCTCCAGTCTTGGTATTTTACTGTGACATAAAAGCTTTCTGTTTCAGTTCGTTTTCCAAAGTTTCGTTCTAACCCTGAGTTGGTACATTCACTGCATTGGTTTTATTAACTATCTTGCTGGATTTTATTATATGTGATAGTATAAACAAAAATATTATAGGCAAAGAGATAATATAGAAACCATTGTTCGTTTTCTGTTAGCTGGTTCTAAATACCCTACAATGCTTTCATCCACTTGAATGGTTTTACACTGACTTGATATGTTTGATGCTGTAGTATATGAAGTTATATTCAAATATTTCAAGGAAAAAGACACTATGGTAACTACTATTAAGTCGGGCTATTTGGTGGTGAAGCACTAGGTTGCTGAAACTGTCATGCTTTGACCTGTATTGTTATGTTGTTATGTCCTCTTTTATCTCAATCTCTCCCTTATTCATTAAAAAATTATTGTTATTTTTTTATGATTTTTTTAATTAAGGGGAAAAATAAAAAATTAGCAGGATATATTATAGTAACTTTTTTGATTTCCTATTAACTTGATTTGAAGTCCTGTAATACTCCCACTATCTTGTTTTGACTGATTAGACTCTGTTCCATTCTGTATGATAGTATCAAGTTTGAGGATATAGGCAACTACTTTGAAGGCAATAAGATTCACTATGATGCCCATTCTGGTTAGACTATTATCTTCTTTGGAAGTCCTGTAATGTTTACAAGGTTTAGGTTTTATTGGTCTTGTTCTCTACTGTTTGGTTCAACTTTATAATACCTAATGAGATAGACAATTCTTTTTAAGGAAACAAGGGACAACGTTGATAACCATTGTTGATAACCTTGTACTCTGTTTTTACATCATGTGCTATGTCTATCCTTGGTTTTGACTGACAGCTTTGTTTTGCCATATTTGACTTTATTCTCTTCGAAAAAAAAAGTAATAAGAACTAAGGAGTAATAAAACCCAAAATGTATAAATTGTGTTATAAAAAAGTGCTCTAAAGGATACAACTGCAAGTGTGTTTAGGGGTGTTAAAGAGCTGACCATATTAATGTTTTTGGTTGGATCATTGAACACAACTGTTTGCAGTCTCACTGTTTGAATGTCCACTTTGTATGCTTTGATACTGTGACTTGAGCAACTATTTCTAAGATGACAATATGTAATCTATTAACAGGTGATTTCTTACTGTTTTTTTTGTTTTTTTGGTTTTTTTTTTTTTTTTTTGTAGTTCTGTATTACTTGTATCGTTACACCGCTTTGTTTTGCTTTGTTTTTTCTCTTTTTCCTTTTAAATAAAATTTTTTTAAAAAACTATTTCTAGAAACCAGGAACTTTGAAATGCGTGTTTCTCTCCTAGCCACTCTCCGAATGCCAGACCCCTGTGTCCAGCTGCCTCTTGAACGTCTGCCCTGAGCTCGGAGCTACCGTGAAGCAGCATTTCTCGGTGCTTTTCAGCTCCTGTTCCTGCTCATCTCCAAGGAGAACCCGTCCTGCTTCTGAAGCAATTGCTCTTAATTCCACGTTGTTCTTTCTTTGTGCCCACTGATCGCAAGTCCACCAAATTCTACTTTTAGAAATGTGTTAAGACCTCGCCACTTCTCTGTCATTTCCCCTGCCATTGCTTTAGATCACAGTCCTCACCAATTGTTTTTATTTCATTTTTCTAACTAACAAAACAGCTCATTTTGCAACCAAAGAAAATTCAATCCAAAGGAATTCCAGAGATGAGAACACAAATTCCTTGAACCCCTCATGTCAAGAATTAACTAATGTTAAGCCAGTGGTACCTCAGTTCATGAATGGAATTCTGTCCTCACAGGCCAACATGACCCTCACCATTGAATCTGATTTGGTTCTCACCCAACTCAGTTTGTGACAAGAACTGCAGGAATAACCAAATGTGTGGACGAAGGTATCACTGAATACTAGAAGTTACTTTCAAATAAGCATGACGTTTTGTGAGTTATATCGTTCCCCTGACGCTCCGCAGGCCGTTTTCTATTTCCCTACGTTAGTTTTACTAGCTATGTGATATTCCATTTTACAATCAGAATCACTCCCTTAGCGTTGGCTGCATATAGGTCAAGATCAAAATAGAAAACTGAACAGCACTCTGCTATTTAAAACACAGTAAATTTAGTACACGGAATTTGTGAGTGAGGACAAAGAGTGGGGAGTGAAATAATTCATAGATGACAACACCAGTGAGACATCACCACACGCTGGATTTGGGTGAGTACAGATCTACAATTTTGCCTAATTGGTGTTTTATTTTATTCTTTGTTTCTTGACTCTTATCAAGTTAATCGAGTCTCTCTATGAGCTTTAACCATATCTCTTGGGCTATTTTAAGGGTTTCTCTGGGGATCACTTATGCAGCTATAATTTATCACTAATTAAAGGTATGATTGAGCCACCGCCAGTCAAATGCTGCAAGCTCACAGCATTATAGCTGCATTTGCTGTCCCACCCCATTCTTTGCTGTTGACACAGACTCCATCCACACGTAAGCCCTATAATACTACGGTGGAATTTTTAAAATATGTAATTACATAAGTTAAGAAATAATGATCACTAGGGGCTGGAGATCTAGCTCAGCGGCATAAGCACCTGCCTTGTAAGCAGGCAGTCGTGAGTTCGATCCCTGGTACCGATAAAAAGGAAAAAGACAAAAAAAAAAAAAAAAAAAGAAATAATGATCACTTACTATCTCTGGTATTCCCCAAAATGTATTTTCATCTCTTGTAATTTCCTTGAGCCACAAGAATGACCTTCCCTGTAATGCAGATATATTAATACAAATTCTGTTTTCATTTGTCTGAGATGTTCTTATTTCGTCATCATTTCGGGGATAGTTTTGCTGGCTGTAGAATTCTGGTTAGGAGTTCTTTCTTCTTGCCCTTTAAAGAAACTTTTCATCCCCTTCTGGCCTCTTTGCTTTTGGTGAACATACGCTGACTTTTGGATTATAGTTTCCTCATGTATAATAACTCATTCTTCATTGGCTCCTTTAAATATTTTCTCCTTACATTTCAGAAGTTTGGCTACTTTATGGCTAGATACTATTTTCTTTGATTATATACTATATGAGCCTTACTGAGATTCTTAAATTTGAAAGTTGATGTTTAATATAAAATCTGAGATGAAAAGAAACCCAAGCTGTTAAAAACATGGCAAATGCTTTAGCCTTCATTCTGTACCTGGAGCTTTGTATCCTAACTCAAGTCTCCTGCATTCTATTGTGAAGTATGATGCACAATTTTATTCCTTTCTGCTTAATTTATGCCATGATTTCTACTAAATGTGACTGTTCTCCCAACACATTACCAACTCCCTAGAATCCCACTCATGCACCAGAATCCAGTTCCAATGTCACCTGGTCTATGTCACTTGCACACAAAATCCCTAGCAGTGTGACAGGTGCTTCTTCTTCCCCAAAACACAGGTTTTCTCTTTTAGCACAATCCATAAAATATGTCATTGCAGTAATGTTTTTGCATATCTTCTTTCACCTGACTTTACTCATTGGCAATTTTCTGTGTCTTTGGTAAATTACTCTTTTCGTGGTATCCTGTGTGTTAGTTTACAGGCTGGTTAGATGAATAAATTAATGAACTGAGTTTACCTAAAACAATGACCCAGCACACCAAGTAGAAAGAAAATGACATTTATCTTCAAAGTTTATCTCTTTAGATTTTAATTTCTCCTTTAGAGAAAAATCTCTCAGGTGACTCATGGTTCTGAATAGAAGCCGGGAATGATGGATTTGTTTGTTTGTTTTTGCTTTGATGGGGATGGAACCCAGAGCCTCATATACCCTGGACTAGGCAAGTGCTCTATCCCACCGAGCAGAGCCACAGTCCCAGCCCAAGAATGGGTGTTAGATCTTTGGGTAAACAAGGGCTGATCAGAAAATACGGTGTATGTCTAACTTGTAAAAAATAAAGGGCACTTGCCAATAATACTTCTCCAGATGTGCCCTGTTTCTTCAGACTCCTTTATCTTATCATTCTTGCCACTTTCTGAACCAGTTCAGGAAATGCTCTTTCACGAACTTTTTTATTAGGAGTAACTAACGTACCATGGGCGCTGTTGCCAAGAGTCATCCATGGAAAGGCAGGCTTGCTCAAACGCGATGGGGTGTCCTCACCCTCCTCCTTCACCGGATCCAGCACCTTGGGGCTTCTGGCTCTTGCTCAAGTCAAAACGACCATGGAAATTAATTTTGAACTGATCCAGGACACAGAGGCAGGTATAGCAGTGCAACTGAAGCCAATCAAGAAAGAAGACTCCAGAACTCTTCCTAAAGTAGAAAGAACGATGCATTTGAATAAGTTTAGTCAAAGCGAGGGGGACTATTTTGAGGGAAATAATGGCAATACGTATTTTACTGTAGTAATTTTTAAATTTAAATATTCACCTTATTTGGTAATCAGATTACACATGAAAGCAGTAGCCCTTTTTATTATCTTCAACCTCCCCAGCCATTTTGCTTTATCACACCCATTGTTGATGTACTAAGTTGGCAATCATGTGACTCTACCGCACACTTCTGTAGGAATTCTGTTGTCATTAACTGTTAGCTAATTCTAATAGTAATGAATACTTAAAATAATAGGCTACCAAATAAAGTTACTGACAACAAAGGATCAGTGAATTCAAGCATGACAGAAGGAGAGCAACCGCTTTTGGCACGAAAGCTACAGATTCAACAGGCCACGAGGAACACCAAGGTCCTTGGGCCTTCCCTCTGAGAGAGCTTGATCTTAATTTAAACAAGAATAGTCACAATTTGATTCCACATTTTTCTGCTAGTTAATATGCAACTCAACTATGCACTAAATTATCTATTTCTTATTTGCTTCATTTGCAAGCTCTATTTCAGTAAATTTGATTTTCTTAAATGATTGATCTGGGAAAGGGATTTGGGGGCAATGTTAAGTTAAAATGTATGTTCATCTTCAGATCAAAGAATTGAGAGATCTACTAAAAACAGTAGTTTGATAAAGGTGAGTTACTGAGACAGACCTTCAAAAGCAGTCAGTCTGCCTTTAAGGATTTGCTGGGTTTGGGAACATGTTGCGAATTCTGATGAGGGCGGAGCTTGTTTCCTACAGAATACACACAGATTCCTTTCCAACAGTGGCCCCTGTTATTGTAAATATCCCTAGGAAGAAGATTTGGCCTAACAGATATTGGATTTCAATCAACCACCCAGCTATCCCTCTAGTTCTGGGACCTAAAGCTCTTGAACACAATGACTTTCTTTCCAGAGATCTAGAAACAAGAAGAAAAACACAGTAGAAAGAATTCTAGAATTACATCCCTATCTGTGTCACAGAAGTCCATGGAGGCTTCAACTCAAGAAACTTTGTACATTTTTCAGTGCATCCTAGATCTTACCCTCTATGAACCTCCTCATGAAAAGAAATTAGACACATAATCGTTGTATGTCTTCCAAGACCAGCAGGTCTTGACCTCCCTAAAACATGACTCTTCTTTGCATGCAGACAACTTATGAGTCTACAGGCAATGAAATAATGTCCTTAAACAACAAATAACTACTTCATCTTCAGTTCTACAATCACATACAAAAGACAGAAGAAAACTGGCTCTCCAGATGCCAAAAACTAAAACGAGACCCATGCTTATCACCATATACTAAACTAAAATCTAAGTAGATCAAAGATATGAATATTAAAACAGAAACACTAAGTCTATTGGAAGACAAATTGGGTAAAAGCCTTGAAGACATAGGGGTAGGTAGAGAATTCATGAATAGGACTCAAATCCCACGGAAAATACTTCCCAGAATCAATAGCTGGGATCACATCTTATTAAAAAGTTTCTGCATGTCAAAAGAAATCTCCAGCATAGTGAAAAGAAAACCCATAAACTGGGAAAAAAAATCTTAGTGAACTGTCCCTCAGACAAAGGACTTTTGTTTAAAACAGATAAAGAATTTTTAAAAAAATCAGACCCCAAAATTCGAAGTCCCAACCCAAAATGGGCATCTGAAATGAATACGTAGTTCTCAAATGAAGAAATACAAATGGCAAATAAATATATGAAAAAATGTTCATCACCATTGGTCATTAGAGAAATGCAAATTAAAGCAGCAATGAGATTCCATCTCACTCCTGAAAGAATGGATAGGCTCAAGAAAACCACCAATGACAAATGCTGGAGAGGCTGTGGGGAAAAAGGAACTCTCCTGCACTGTTGATGGGAATGTAGACCATTGTGGAGGTCAGTCTGCAGATTTCTCAAAAATCTGGAATTGGAAGTCCCATTTGTTCCAGCTATTCCACTTCTAGGCATATTCCCAGAAGAACTGAAAGCATCATACCACAGTGATATATGTGCACCCATATTTATAGCAGCACAATTTGTAATTGCCAGATCTTGGAAACAACCTAAGTGTCCATCAACTGAGGAATGGATAAAAAAGTTGTGATATTTTTATACAATGGAGTACTACTCGGCTATAAAGAAGGATCACATTGAGATATTTATAAATAAATGGACGCAACTTGAGACCATACTCATAAGTGGAATAAATCAAACTCACATGTATAATTACCATATAGTCTCCCTAGTGTAAGAAATGGTAAGAGTGCATAACAGTTTATGATAATCATTATTCCCCATTACATTGTTTTGAAGCCTTAAAATGTTTGCATTCATTAGTTGGAATGGTTTTACCCTGGTCTGTTTGATTTTATTATCTGTGATAGTATGAACAGCTATTTTGAAGAAAACAAGACATTAGAATAGCCAGTGCTGATTTAATATCATCTTACTCTGAAGTCCTACCATGCTTTTGCTCTTCTATTTCCTTTGGTACTATCATGTTATATCTTATTGGATATTATTATGTGTGATAGTATAAACAAATTTTCTATGGAAAATGAGATAATATAGCAGCCATTGTTCATTCTCTGTTATTTGGTTCTGAAAGTCCTGTAATGCTTTCATTCTCTTGAATGGTTTTATAATGTTTTGTTATTATTGATGTTATTGTATATAAAGTTATGCTCAACTATTTCAAAGGAAGAGACATTATGGTAGCTACTGTTAATTATGGGTTGTCTTGTGGTAAAACGCTGTGTTGCTTGCGTTGTTCTGATCTGATCTGCTTTGTTATGTCCCCTTTGGTGTTAATCTCTTTAAAATAAAAAAAAAATCTTAAAAAAAATTCTTAAAAAGACAGAAGAAACACCTTGTCCCCACCTCAGCCACATGGTCAATCTATTGTTTCTGGGCCAGATAAATAGCTGTGTGTTTGGTGTGGAGAATCTGGAGAAACATTGAGCACAAAAGGACGAGGGAAAGGTTAACTTCCATGGGACACAAGCAAAAGAAGCCGAGACCCACAGCCTGGAGGTTAGAGCTCGGCCATCCAAGCATTGCTCCGTGCAGCTGGGCTCCCATTGCTGTCCTCTTTCTTGGTGACAGCAGTCAGGACAGCTGTGAGGATGCAGGAATTGCTGAAAACCAGTGGTTATTGGCACGGAGTCTTCCAAGCAGTACCACATTTCTAGGAAAATGAATGTAGCCTGCATCTGACAAGGCTCGGTGTGCTTGCAAGGGACAGGAGCAGACTGGAGGAATGTGGCTGTTGGAGTCCCATGCACACACATGGTCCCCACTGACATGACTCTTCACCTCCCTGTCCATCTTAGAAGCTTGCCTTTTCCCTCTTTAAAAATCCCTGTCCTCGATGAAGCCCACAGGATTCCAGCTAGCACTGATCCACACCAACGTTTTAAAACTAGACAGGCCCTGAAAATGGTATTGTTCAACCATTCTACTTTAGTGATCTGGAAAGTGTCATAAAGAGTGAGCAATACATTCTCTTGGCCCTGCATCCATGTATGTTGACCCAAGGTGAACTGGAGGTACTTTTCTACAGGCACTTTACTGGGGTGAGCTAGCCTAACCCCCAAATCCAAGCATCAGTACACCGTACAGTTGGAAGACTACTGCATGCCCTACTGAGCCCAAGTGTTAAGGGGAGAGACAAGGCAGTGGTAAACCTTGGGCACAGGCATCAGAGCTCTAGCATGCCCACTAGGGAAGGTTCTGTCTTACCCACCAGCCTCAGCACGCCTTATAAGCACTACGGATGCTGCACGGGAACCTGCCTGTCCCTGGCCTGCCCAGAGCTTTCAGTCTTCTGTGTTTCCCATAATGTAGCAAATTACTCCACAATCCAGCCACCCCCCAGGGTTCTTCTTTGTAGTCTCCCTCCTATAAGCAAAAAGAAATACTAATCCCACTCTGATCATGTACACAAAACAATCACAGCAGCAGGAGGAACAGAATTCTACCCAGTTTATTCCTAAAACACTATGCAGGGGTAAAAGTACACACAGTCCACTTTAACCATTAAAGAGTTTCTCCTTGACTTTACTGTACCACATCTACAAAAGCCATGATGTAGAAATCTTTACTCAGAAAAATCGGGCTTCAAGTTGTACATTTAAACTGAATTTTCAAAGCATGTTCTGTGAAGAGTTACACTATAGCGTCCAAACACCTGCCGGCACAGACACACAAATAAACCAACCGCGCTTAGCACTGGCTAACGTGCTCCTCAGAACCTTCTTTTAGAATTTAAATATTTCAGCACCTGTCAGAAGACAGGTGATTTGTTCCATGGCTGATATAAATACCAGTAAATAAAAAGCAGGCTATTTTCACTTACTTTGGAAAATAGGGGATACTAAGCTTAGAATCTCTGAAGACAGCTGACTCCTTGCCTTTCTTTTTTCCTTCCCCTTCTCATATTTCTCTGTCTCTCTCCCTTCTCTTCTCTTCCTTTGCTTTCAGACAAAGTCAATTAGGTACATTCAAAAGGCACAGGAAGCAGCTGACACCACCTTGGAGAACATCAGTGACTGTGGAAGCAATACGTGGGGTAAGGAGATGCTGCGTGCAGCAAAACTGAGTTCATATGTCAGTCTGAAGTTGCGCGGGTCAACATGGTATGGGTCAGTGTTCTGACTGTGGAGGAGGAAGATACAGATACAGAAAGGGAGAAAGGTACAGTGGACCTGTGGCGTTAGAATCAAGTTAGAGATACTGGGGCAAGGGGGTGTATCGGTGAATGGCAGGTGGATGGATGGATAGGGAGACACAGCAACAGGTATAAATACTGCCATGGGTTATGGCTTATATCTGCAAGTCCCCCTCCCAAGCCTCCTAGGCGGGACTTTAGAAGGTGATTGGATTACGGGCCTCATAGCTGACTTATAGTTAGCCGACGGTGTCTGGACAGAAGAGGTGGGTCACTTGGTCATGGTCTGGATGAGTTTATTCCCTCTCTAGTACCTGTTTTCACACTCTTTGCTTCCTGCCTGCTGTGGCATGAGCAAATGCAGTCTGCTATGTCTGAGGGCCATGCTGTTCTGCCTTGGAGCTAAGTGGCCATAGACTGTTAAACCTGAGCCAAAATAAACCTTTCCTCCTTCAAGTTGTGGGTGTCAGTTACAGCGTCCCAGTGATAAAGAAAGCCGCTAAGATAGTATGTGTAGCATGCTTATGTGGTTTAGACTTTAACATGTCTACTTTCCTAGCTTGAAGGGCCTGCCATGCCAGCAATGATTACACCTACCAGCCAGCTCCTGTTTCCTAAACGTGACTCCCACGAACAGAACAAAGTGTCCTTAAAGGAATGGCTGATATCAAACTGGGATAAGGAAAGTACAAGATGAACTTAGAATCTATTTTTGTGCCAGAAGAAAACACTGCCCAAAGAATGTCAAAGGACACGTCAAAAGGATATATAAGTAAGCTTGAAGGTGTTATTACTGGGCAGACTTGGAAGAATTTGAGAGTCAAAATAAACAGTGGTAAGCAGATAATGTCATTGCACAAAATAATGATCTAAGTGTCCCTACAGACTAAATAATGAGTGAAGAAACTAGGGAAGAGGTAAATCTCTTCCCCAAAACAAAAACTAATACTGATGATGCACTTTGAAAATCATCACTTGGTATCCACTGCAATAATTAATCCAGGTAAGAACCATTGACAGGGGCTCACAGTAGGATGCACAGTGGCTGAAAACAGGCTTTTGTATTCTCTCAAAATCTCTCCCCGCACAGTACTGGGTAATTACATGATGTGGACTGACTTTTCACTAGAGGACCTAGTAAAGGTGACCTCAGCAACAACAGGAAAACTTCATCCTGCGGCCCCTGAGACGATGTCGATGATAACACACAGCACCGAGCTTCTCTGATGTTCCAGCCAAAGGTGAGCAGCCTGGACATCCTCATGTGGAAACACCAAGCAGAAACTGAGAGAGCTATAAAAACAACTGGGTTTTAATCTTCAAAAATATTAAGGTCGTGAGAGTTGGAGAAATTGTTGCACGTTGTAGGAAACAGTTCTCCAGATTTAGTAGATACTCAGTGACTCCATAACCAATGTATCTTCCTTTATCTAATAGCTCCCCTATAAAAGGATATTGGTCCAACACTCATGGAATGTTGACCTCTAAAGAAGAGATATATTTTAATACATATATACACAGAATTGGATGATGGTTACACATACTTCATAAGCTTTCACCTGACTAGACCAACACCTGATTCATTGATGAGCAGCACTCATCACCTAGGCTTGTGTTTAAGGGACATGAAAGACTCTCGTATACCATTTCTGCTTACTTTTCAGATTTAGTAGCAAGAAAGTGGAGGGCAAGAAAAGGTGATTCTGGTGCTGTGTCCACCTCGAATCACTGACCTCATTGGCCTCCCTATCACAGCCTCTGTAGCTCTAGTGCAGTCCACCAACACATCACGCACATGGTACTGAGTAGTTCAGGAAGACTTGGAGAGTGTTTGCAAGAATTTTGGTAGCTGATAGAAGAATGAACTCACCCAAAGAAAGTATTTGAGTTTCCCCTTTTCATTTGAATATAAATGCACTATTTGAGAATGCTAACATAGAAGTCTGTGCTATCCTTTAGAACACCTTGGAAATACAGAACCTGCTCATCTAAAGAGAAAAACCTCTATTCTTTTTCAGTGTACACGTGAAATGCACTCCTTTTCTCCATTTTAAAGCTTGTGTAAGAAGAAGAGGAAATGTTAAGAGCTGGTAAATAGCAGAACTCAAAACTCCTGCAAGACAGTCTCTGCAGAGGTGGGCTTCTCCTTTCTAGAAGGGTTGGCCCCTTTCAGAAGCTTTGCATCACTGGATGGGTCACAAAATGCTCAAGTCTGACATTAAACTTCGTTTTATATATTATCTGTTTTAAAAAGATCTTTTAAAAAGAAGGTAGTATCTTCAAAAAAAAGAGCCATTGAAGGAATTGTCTGGCCATGCAATGGAATTTACAACGGCATTATCTATGCAAAGATTTCCTCTCTAAATGAATAGTATAAATAGTATCTATGTTAAAGGAGAGGCTCAGGAGTTTCGGTTTTGAGTGTGTAAAGAAAGCCCTCTCTGGGTCCTGATCAGTAGCCTCACTGGAGTTGTGCCTGAAGGGGATGAAAAGACCTTTTCTTTAAGTATGCTGCTCAGCGGCTGGCCTCAAACTAGCAGCATCAGCATCGCCCAAGAGCTTGGTGGAAACATACAACCTCAGACTCATTAACCACATCGTTCATTTGAAAGGCACTGTTCTGTCCCGTGTGGGACACATTTTCCTGCACCCTCCCAACTTTAATCAGTACTGGGGAAAGAACCAAGGGCCTCGACAGACAGGCAGGCAAAGTGCTCTATCACACAGATATACCCCGAGCCTTGCTTTACACATTTTTAAAAATTAGAAGTCTGGGTTTCCACAATGATTCAGAACTATTAAACACAAGAAGAGCAGAAAATCTCATCCTGCCCCATGATGAATTCTCCAGGCCGTTGAAAGACTCATTAGACCCATTGTTGTAGTTGTTTCTACAAATGGATTTGAGAGGCTACTTGGATAATTAAGAGCAGGTACAGCTCCTAGCATGCTGCAACCTGTCTCCTGCAGAGTACCCTGCTAATGCCACTGTGAAAGATGAGGAAAGGAAGCTACCCACACCATCTGACCAGCCACACACATGGTAGCACACCCACACTCCAGTTAAGCCCCCTCCCGCCCCACTGTGGAACTTGACACCCTAGGGGGATTTTGACAGGGAACCGCCAATCCATAGTCATGGTGGTCACTTGCAACTCTTATCTAAAAGTCCAACCTGAATATTTGACACATTACCAGCTCTCCTCACAACTCATTCTGAAAATTAATCTACAGCAGGATTCTTCAAGCAGCATCTCCAGATTGTACTCAAGGAAGAAAAGAGAAATTATCTTTCTACAAGTGTCACATAAAAATAACACAAACTATACGGAAGTAACACAAAATAGTCCTTTCCCAATCCCAGCTAGCTAATTGCAATAACCGGGCTTTTAAATTTTTTTTCACAATATACTTTCTCTGAAATAATGAGCTTTTCAATACAAAAAGCCCCAAAATTGTGACTGGTGAGTTAATTCACTGGATGAGAATACTTGATAGAAAGACAAAGGCAAGTGAGATGCAAAGAGAGTAAACAAGGTGCTTGTCTCTGAAGCTCAGAGAGGTCTGTGCTATTCATTCCTAAAATCACAGGGGCAAATTGTTCGAAAAACTACTAATGACATTTCTTGTTTCTTTATCATGGGTAAACATGACATTTTGACAATTGGATCTAAATGGAAAATCAGACATAGCAATTAGACTCTGCATGTATTTTGAGGCTAATATCTGGGCTTGGTTACACTAGGACCCAAGCTATTTCTGGCTCAAATATTCCTAAAATAAAGAGAAAGTCCCTGTCTGAGCTTCAGATGACCGAAGGTGATCCACAAAGCATCCGCTAAGCGTAACCTTGACCCATATCCATGTGGCTGGGAGCACTGGGCCTTCTGGCAGATTCCAGCAATAAGGTTTAAGAACATCATGGACCGAAGGACTATTTTCATTGGGGTCTTTATTTGTGACCCTGGAAAAGGCTCCTTTTATGACCATAAATCCCTACCACTAGCTGGGACTAAGTTTTCTTCATGTTTGGTTAGAGTCACTTTGGAATTTTTGGAATTTACTTCAGTTGTTTAGGTGGCCTCCATTCTGATTGGCATTTTGGGATGTCTGCTCCCTCACAGAGCTGGTGACTGGTGGTACGTTGAGCCCGAGAGTGAAGAGCCCTCCAACCTTTCTCCTGGTCCTTCCCTTTGTGGACTAGAGGCACTGTCGATGCAATTGTAGGCTGACTGGCCTCAAAAAAGACCTCTCTTCCCAAAACTCAGATTCTAGAAACTATTTCCTTTAACCAGCATCTCAGTTTGTTGGTTGGTTTGTTTGTTTCCAATTTAAAATGCACACAAGTGCCTAGGGGTTGCACGCTAGAGCTGCCACATAGCAGTGGCATTTTAGGTAGGTCAGATGGTAGCAAGGGCACAGAATTATTGCAGTGCCCTTGGCACCCCCTCCCCCACCCTGAGATTCACCGCTGATTGCAGGCTGGAGCCTTCACTGGCACACGGCCATTTCAAAGCTGCAGGTGTGCAAGGCACTCCGATAAAGTGGCTGCAGTAATCAGGGCAGGTCCACAGGGGATGGGGCTGAGGAGGGACAGAGAGGGTGTAGCTGTCACCCCAGGGAAGGGCACACACCTCCACCTGCCACCTCACTTGAGATATCACATAACAGCAGCAGCTGTCCAGGGCTGCAGAAATGAACACCGTGCACCTGTTTCCAACACGCTTCGTTATCATCAATATCCATGTAGTCATTGAAGGAAAAGCATTGATAAAATGAGCTGCACACGGACACCGTCCTCCTTCAAGACTGGACGCTTTACCTTTACTCGGTGTTAAGAGAAGCCAGCGCCCGGAGAAAGTTCTTGGCTATCTCGTGTGATCAGGCCCTGCAATTTTCTGATTTTTTTAGATGATATTTTTATATTAACTGATTTTTTTTAACTCCAGTGTTCTCACATTGCTTTGTAAGCTGTGCCTGTTTGTCAGTTGGGCAGCTGATTGCCTCGCATTTTTCAATCCTTCTTTCTGTCTACTGGCCTCAGGTTTGTGAGGTGAACCATACCAGTTGCCAGTAAGGTGCACCGTTGAGAAATGGTCCCATTCGTGGGCTTCTGACATCTCATCGCTCCTTCTGTGCATGTGGCTGCCTTGCCTACACACCCTCAGCCTCCGCAGGACAGCGCCAGGTCACATGGCAGTGCCAGCCAGTTCTCTCAGCCTTCTAACATTTGTCAGCCCGAACGTCAGAAGGGCTCAATGTGGCAATTCCAGGATTACTGGCCAAAGTTGCTTTTAAAAGGCATTTCCATGAGTCTGCTCACTGCAGAGATGAAGAAGGGACACAGTGTGGTTACTAGCTAGACCAAAGCTAATTTATCAGAGCTGGTCGTCGGATGGCAGAGCACAGCGAGGCAAGCAGGGAGATAGATGGAGGGAAGCTGCCCTCCCCGTGCCCTGATGGTGCCCTGTGCCAGGCTGAACTGCACGCTCCATGCCCATTCAGCATAAATTCCAAGGTGCGTCTCACAGTGAGAAGGATCAACATTGATTTGCCAATCTGGGGATTCATGGAATTTGCTCTTTCTGGATTGAGAACAATCCTTGATGCTCTCCCCTTCCCTCCTTCTCACCAAATCTACTGCTAAGACTTTGGATCCATAATAGATGTAAGGAATAGAGATAACCTATCTATAAAGATAACGTCACATTCGTGAAATTAAGGACATTAAGGTGTCAGCGTGGATCTTCCACATCCAGAAGCACGATAGCCCATAAAAGATGCAGCCCATCTGTTGAAAAGGTAAAAGGTGTTTGCCGAAGCTAAAGACCAGCCAAGCTGGTGTGAGAGGTGGTTTTCTAGTGGCGAAAACAGACTTTGCTGATAAATTGTTTAAATGATTGATTTAATTGCTTCCCCCTCCTTCTAGCAGAGGGAAGTTGTGTGAAGTTTCCAGTCAAAATGGCTCATGAATGGGTAATCACAACAACCCTAGCAGTCTTTTGATTTCCTGACAGATTCAAGGAACGCGTGAATGCCACATGATTGATGGCTGTTGAATGACAGTGGGTTTTGTGCAATAATGAGCAGAGTCCCAGACTGCAAACGGCTCAAAGCACAAATGTAACACCCTACCCAAGAGGTGTACACAGGAATGATTATGCAGCCCACTTCCGGGGCTATCCCAGGCAGATCCAGCTCAACGCACAGAGAGAACAGGCGATTCCATCAGCCACTCACCGGCAACGGATATTTTTCTCCCTCTCTTTTCCTCTCTTCTTTCTCTTCCTTTTTGCGGTCCGGAGCCCAGGTCCATCCCCAGGTAAGAACATTTTAGGCCTTGCCTCTGGTGACTGGCCATGAAAGGTGAAGGAACTCTTGACATAGCAATTGCAGTAATATCCAGGAAATCTAGCATGACATGTAAATATCACTAAATTACATGCTCAGAAAAATATACAAACCCATCAATGACCCCAATGACAAATAAGATCCTGGGTGCTTCTAGGATCCCAAAGTTAGCAAGAGAAGAAAGCAGGCCCTGTGACTTTCAAACTCTTCAAGAAAGAGGAAGGGCTGAATACCTGGCCTGCTTCATGCGAAGATCTCTTGAAGTTAGGCTTGATCTAATTGACAGTGTTGTTCTGCTATATTTTGGAACTTTCCTGAGCTTGAGCCTGCGAAGGGACAATGGGAGGGAGCCAGCCTGGAACTGATCTCCCTCTGAAGCAGGCAGCAGCCCCAACAATAAAGGTCTTGTGCTTTCTTTTTTTAAAATTTTTTATTTAAAAAATTTTTTAAAAAAGAAGGAGATCAA